CCTGGCAGCTGTCCCCACACACCAGCCACCGGCAGGCCCCAGGCCGGGGCCGTCTGCAGTGCGCTCTGGCCCCTCGAGGCCCAGGGAGCCCTCGCCCGTGGACGCACCTGCCTCGGGGCACCGGGGAGCCGGGCCCAGCGCCCTGCCCGCGCTCAGCGGGGCGCTGGGGGCACCAGGAGCTGCTGGCAGGACCAGAACCGGGGAGGGGCGTCCCAGCTCTGCCCTGGCCGCACCCCCCAGGCCTCCCTGGGGCTCGGGGAAGCGGCATCCCTCAGAGGCCCGTGGGAGCCGCTTTCCGGTCCCCGGCCCCAGGAGGGTGCCGAGGCAGCGCCCCCTAGGCAGGCGGCCAGGCGGGGAGCTGCCCGACCCTGGACATGCAGGGCCGCCACGGTCTTGGGGACAACGGCGGCTGGCTCTGGGGGGGCTGTGCGCGTGGCCGTGACCCCGGGGGCCAGTCCAGGGTGGCACCCAAGGAGGCTGGAAGCCGGAGTCCCCCCGATGCAGGGTGGGGGCCGAGCTAGCCCACACCCCCCGCCCGGACCTTCACCCCGTGCCGGGGGGGAGCTGGGGCAGAGGGCTCGGGCGTCTCGCCAGTGCCCTGCAGCCCGAGGCCTGCCGTGTGCCGAGGCCGGCTCCCGCCTCGCGCCCAGGGAGCCCCGGGAGAGCTGGCCGCTGAGGAGGGTGAAGCCTGCCTGCGGCCGCCGCGCCACTCGCCGCCCGCCTGGCTCCCTGGCCCTGCCGCTCCTCCGAGGGGCGCCGGTCCCAGCCCTTGCGGTGCCAGCCTGGGGCCGCCCCCGCAGTGGGGCCCTGCAGGAAGGTGGACCTGAGGAGGGTGGACGCAGCAGCGGGGTGGACTCGCTTTATTCCCTCTTCCTGCGCCTGGCCCCCCCCCCGGGTTCTAGAACAGCCAGGTAGTGTGGGGGGCAGGCTGGCAGGACCCCACTTGCTCTGGGGTCCCCCTGGGCAGGCCGAGCCGCCGAGTTCAGTCTCCGCAGGCTGGAGGCAGGGTGCTGTGCAGTGCCGAGTCCAGTACGGCCGCAGCTGACCCGCGGTGGCCGGGCCCTGCCCGCCGGCCAGGCGGCTCGGGTGGTCCCACCAGCACACTGGCTTCACGACTCCCCGAAAGAGCGTCCGCTCGGCCCGAGACTCGGCACGGGCCCTGACGACAGGGGCTCGTGAAACGCCTCTGGCCGGGCCCTGCCCGCCGGATGCGCCACCCCCCAACCGGGGGCAGCACAGAGAGCCGCGGAAGGGAGCCAGAGCGGCCCTCTCCTGCGCCCCACCAAGGCGAGCCCTGGAGATGGCCTTAGGGGCCGCCCTCGGCCTCTCTTCGGCCATCACCCTCCA